TTCTGCCAAAACAAGTTCAACAAATAAATATTCTATATTTTATTACAAGTTACAGCTTTTACAGTAAGCAAGCTTTGTATTTATCACAGGCATGATGTTTCGATCACTGGTGCAATTATTCTCAAGAATTGTAGAATTGTACTAGAAGCATAAATCTTCTTTCAAACTACAATAGTTAATAATTAATTATCAGTGGTATTGAGTTGTTAAAGAATCTAGTTTTATGGAGTCCCCCAGTGGCATAGTGGTAAGCCTACAGACTTATAATGCTAGAAACTAGGTTTTTGATATCTGTGGTAGGCACAGCACAGATAGTCTATTGTGTAGCTTTGTGCTTAACTATAAACTAATATCAAAGGAAACCTAAGATGGGTTAAACTTTACTAATGTGGTCACAGTCCTTTTGTATAAGCATTTCCCCATTAACATTAATTTTTACAAGACCACTTAAATTACAAATTACGTGTACTCTAAATATAGCCAAAATATTCATTACTAAATATTCATATACGTACATTGAACTCATGATAATCTTAGATGCTTTCTGAAATAAAGTGTATCATTGAAAGACCCAAGCTAGGCACTAAACGTTTCTCAACATGTGATCAGCTATTCTTGCAATATTTATAAATATATTTCTTTCTGAATTTTTATTTTGTATTTCAGAAATTCAAAGAAACCGAGAATTTTACAAGAATGCTGATGTCAGACCACCATTTACATATGCATCTTTGATTAGACAGGTAAGAAAAATGGTTGATTTTCAAAAGTTTAGTGTACTTAATTACTGAAAATAAAATCTACATGCTTTATTTTGTTAATCATACAGAATGTAAATGAGTGGGTTTCTCTGGATTGGGCCTGAAAAATGATCCTTTATTTTTTATTCTATTCAAGTTACTGTTTGAGTTTTATAGGTCTGTATTTAAGATTAGATTCATCAGTTCGATGTTTAAGTAACAAACTGTTTGTATTAATTCAGAAAAACTTGATTGACCCATTAGTCCATTTTCTTCAGTACTGTAATTCATACATTCATAGCTAGAGACCAAAATAACTAGTCATTTTTATTATTATCTTATTAATTTTATATGTTTCATATAATGTACATCTGTATATAAAATTTACAAAACAGTATAACCATCAACATAATTTTTTTTAGGCTATTATTGAATCTCATGAGAAACAGTTGACTTTGAATGAAATATACTGCTGGTTTCAAAACACATTTTGTTACTTCCGAAGAAATGCAGCTACCTGGAAGGTAAAGTGTTTTAATTAATTTTGGAACTGACTCTAATTGGAATGTGGATAGTTTTTTTTTGTTAAGTGAAATAATGATCTTGTTGTTGTGTAGACAGGTTTTATATTAAATATTGCTGAGTCTAGGTTACTTAGGAAGGTATTATACTTAATTGTATGATATTTTTTTGTTCAAAATATATATATACATATTTTTATTCATTTATTTCCATTTCAACATTGAAGTTCTAATGTTTTTTATTTAGCATATGTTTTTCCTTTCTTAAGAAGGACATGTAAAATGTTTTGTTAATGGAAAAATACAATAGAATAAATATTTACTTTATCAGTGTTGATAGATTAGTGTTTATCTTACTTGCAAAGTAAAACCTACCATTAAGTATTTGGCACCCATCTATATATCAGATACTTCTATTTCACCATGTGTTTTAATGTTCACTTGGATCCCCAAGTAGATTTCCTTGCAGTTGACCATTTACACCCACACTATCAGACCTTTCTAGATAGTCTCTGTAATGAGATAAACAACTAAATTACTCAGAAAAAATTGTGTAAAGTTTCTGGCCAAATTTGGATGGTGTATAATCTAAAATCTAGTCAATTTTTAGATGTTTTGGAACAAAAAGTTGACTCTAAGTTGATTGAATTTTACTGACTTTTTCTGTTTTAACAAGCAAAAGTTCAAAATGAATTTAATAAATGTCATGCCATTTTAGCTTTAAGCTTTTTTTTTAATTGCCAAGAGTTAAGCATACATACATACTTACTATCGTATATTCATACAGCTTATTTATTAAATGTTATCTTTATTTACTAATTTACAGTGTATGAATATTTTAGAAAATTAACATTAAATAAACCATGTTAAGTTCTAAATTTTTATACTGTGATGTTTAAACAGGAATGTTTTTCACATTTTCCAAATCAGGCTCTGAATATCCACCAAAGTTTTGCTCATAGCATTAATAAGTTCTTAATTTGTTAGAAGTCACTATTATGTAATACTTTATTAACTTTTATATATGTATACTATATCCAGATATTCTGTAAAGAAAGCAATGAAAATAGTATTTTTTATTTTAATTTACTGCCAACTTGTGCAAAAATTCAAAGTGCATTAAATATCATATGTAATTTATATTAATAATTTTTTTTCCATTTTGCAGTACTTAGTTACATATAACTTAACCAGTGTTTCATACTTTAGTTCAAGCATAGTCAATATTGAATAAAATTTCAGTAAAATATAGACCAAATTTTAATCAAACTACCAATTAAAATGCATTTAGTTTTGACTACACTGTGCAGTCAGGGCACACATGGCCTCCAGCTGCAGCAAGTTGAAAACCTTGAAATATTTCTCTTCGTTATTTTGGTAGAATGCAGTGCGTCACAACCTTAGTCTTCACAAATGTTTTAGGCGTGTTGAGAATGTTAAAGGGGCAGTATGGACAGTGGATGAGCTAGAGTTCTACAAACGACGGCCCCAAAGAATTCAGGAGCGTATTGCAGGGTATGTGAATTTTAGATCTTAAAAATTTCCATTGTCTTTTGTGACATACTTTATAACATATTTTTCTCTCTCTCTCTCTCTCCCATGTTCCTTCCTTGTTCCTCCTTTCTTTCATCATCTTTTGATATATGTTGATTTTTTTTTTTGATATTGTAATTTGCATCTTATATTTTTTTCATGGCTCATGATTAACTTCATTAATGCTGTATTTGTTTGCATTTTGCTTCTTGTTATTTGAATGTACATTTCTTACTTTGAATAATGAACTGCTTATTTCTTAACATTCAACTTTGTTGCATGTCTCCTTTTTTTTGCACTCTTTATCTTGCCCTTGTCCTTTTATTTCCTCTTGTGTCCTGCATTTCCTTCCCATCTCTGCACAGAATGCAATACGCACCAATCTCTCGCTACATAAGTGCTTTCTGCGCTGCGAGGATGACTTCGGGTCCTTCTGGGTAGTGGATGACAGTGAGTTTATAAAGAGACGACGCTTGAGTCGTGGCCGGCCCAGAAAACTCCCTGAACCTAACCACACCCTGTCCACACAGTAAGCCTACCTTTTTATGTTTTCTTAGCATGTTATAAATTGTATTTCTTTTGCTTAAAAGTGCATGAGTAGGTTATAACCATACTTGTATTGGAGCATGTACTGTTACCTAGATATTACCATTGTGAAAATCATCAACAATATTAGCATACTTTTCTTTTGTACAATATTACTTTTCAAAATCAACTGTTTAATGGAAGCTTTTTCTCTATCAATTTTTTTAAATGCACAATGAAGACTACTTATGTAATCATAATTTTAAAACCATTATTTAACTTTTTTGGTGTAGTTTCTTATTTATTCTAAATTAAATTCATCCAAAACCAAACAATACTTTCCATTGTCAGTTCTGTTCCTTCCTATTTCACTACTCTCCTGTCAACAAATTTCTGTGTCAGAAGTCTAAATATGGAAATGTTTAGCTGATTATATAAAAGTTAGTCTAGATGGTATAGACTCTTTGATGACTATCTGCATGATACATTTTCCTAATGTAGAGCTAATACACAGAATGTGTAGATAAACTTGCATCTTGTAAATTACTTTCATTTAGTATTACAATTTATATCTAAAGAAAACATTTACCCTATACAATTTTTAATGGTTTATTGAAATTCATAATTTTTTCTTGAATTATATTCTTAAACTTTTATATTTTAATGTTTAATGCTTATTCGGTTAATATTGATGAACATTTAAATAAAACAAAAATTATCAAATCGTGCATTTATTAAAGTGTTAACAACAATAGTAAATGTATTGTTAAACGTTTTTTACTTTCAAAGATTACATTTTATATTTTAATAATTTTTCTTTAACATTTTGATATATCCAAATGAAAACTACTTTAATTCAAAATTATAATGGTATCATCTAAAATACTTACCATTAAGAAGCTTGTTTTAGTGACAGTATTTCTGAAATAAAAAGGAAGAAACAAATTAAAGGTTTAACATGTTTCTGTAAAAATTAACATCAGATTACTTTGCAGTTGGCATTATATTTTTCATTAATAAGATTTGGCAAAAATATGAAAATAATATTTCTTGTAGAAATTATAAGCTTTTGTTTTAAACTTGAAATACAGCAAAATATTACTTCACTTTTTTATCTGAATTGAATTCTGGTCAAAAAACAATAGATGAAACAGATTTTTTCTTATATTTGAAGTACACATAGTATTACTAAATTTATTTGAGATAATACAATCATATTCTGCTTTAGAATGTGAATAATTAATATCTTTGGAAAATGCAAACTTTTTTATAAAGATGCATTTCATGGTAAAAACATCAACCTAAAAATATAACTACAGAGTCCAACATTGATTTAATAAGAGAAATTTTTTTTTGAAGATTGTTAATGTTATGTAGAAAGGCTAAGTCCAGGGCATTGATTGATTTTTTAAAAAGCTTTCTGAGACTTTTAATTATTATTTTTTCATAAATAACATTCAAAACACACCAGTGTATGCATTATGTGACTTCAAATTCAAAAATAAATGCCCCAGATAGGTTAAAAATTAAGGAAAATAACTTATTATTTTTTTTTGCTTTACTAAGAGATATTTCAAAAACATTTAGTATTTTTTGTGAGTACTTTCCCAAATCATGAGTTTGCAATATCATCTTATTTTCTGTCTAGTGTGCAAGTAGGACCCCAAACAACCATCACACAAGCTCCTTCTCATGGCTACAAGAGTCCAACACTTCAGCAGAATCCTGGTTTATGTGGTGAAAATCTCACAGCTTCACTACAGGTGGGAGTTCTAAAATTTTTATGTGTAAACAAAAATTAACAATTTTTATCTATTTTTACATGGGAAAATAGTAAATTAAGAAGAAAAAAACACACATGCAAAATATTAATAATGAAAAGGCTAAAATGATTTATTCAAACTTTACTCAAATTAACACACATAAGAAGATTGTTTTATTAATTCCAGAGTTGGCCTTAGGTTGAAGCAAGCTAGGCAGTCACTTTGGGCCCCATGCAAGAAGTTTGAAATCCAATAAAATATTCTGAATTATGTAGAATGACTAACTTAAGAGAATACAATTTGATTTATATATGCTCAAGTTGAGATGATAAAAAAAACAAAGGGGGGAAGCTGAAGACAAACATAATTCCAGAAAAACACATCAATAACAATATCGAGCAACAATAAACAATAATTTGTTTTAACTATATCTCATGAACTTAACTCATTTAAGCTCAAGGCAAGGTTTTTATTTAGTGGTTAGACCATGAGGTTAAATCTCATGTATCTAGCTAACTTACACAATCCTTCACAATATTATCTATTCATCATTGCTAGGGGAAACTTGTGTCAGTTTCCTATTATGAACATACTCAAATTCAATGTGCTAGAAAGTGGGTTAGTACTATAACATAACTAAAAATTCATAGTTGAACTAAATGATAGAAGGAATAATAAATGAATGGTAAACAAAACTATAACAAAATAAAAGTAGAATTCACTGTCTCACAGAGAGCCCCCACAAGATACTCTGGTTTTGGGCCTCTCAAACTCTGAGGCTAGCTCTGATCACTTAATACTTGTTACAAATTTAAAATAACCAATAAAATATTCTGAATTATGTGGAATGACTAACTTAAGATAATTTATGATTTGCTTACTGTATCAGTTAAACATCATTTCTATCATTTTATGTGTTACCTACAATATGAACTTAACTTCTTTCAACCATTTAGTTTATCACTCACTATACAAACTGAATGTGCTCTCTGTTACACATATTTTACCTAATGTATAAATATGGACACATGCTAGAAATATTTTTTAAAAATTGCACTCAAGACCTTTTTTCTTTTCTTTTTTTACTGTTCAGGCAGCATTAGCAGAAAGTAATCTATCATTTTTGTCTACTTCCAAACCTGGAGGAACCACCAATGCTTCCACTCTTGCTCCCACGAGCTTCTCCTTGGCTATGAGTAAAGCAATAGAAGATGATCATTATCTGATGGATGTTGTTAATGTAAACATGAACTATGAAAGGCCAAATAGGTAAAACACTATATTCAAAGCACATCAGGTTTGGTAATAAAATTAATATTTTAAGTATCTTATTGGCTTTAATTACTCTGGCTTCAAAAATTATCTCGCTAGTTGAATGAGGTTTAATGTTTATATTTTTAATTATTCATTTACAACTTGAAATCATAAATTTATTATTTTAAGTTGACAATAACTGTGATAACATAAAATGATTAAAATGTTTGTATTCCTATTACTTGCTGTATCTGTATAATATAATTAATCCCTTGACAAAACTGTTACAATGGTAGTTTGGCAATAGAAAAAATGTATCTAGTGATTAGTCATATCCATTATCTCTTAAAAGTTTCTGTCATCCTCCACTATATATTATTATCAATGAAAAATAATTTAATTTTTAAGGTTATTTTTAGAAATGTGGTAGTAAAATTTTGAATTAGCCAAATGCTACTAAGTGCTTATGGTGACAGGTAAAGTATTTCAAGAAAGTCTCAAGGAAGAAAGTTTAATTTCTACATTCTTTAATTACCATCTACTGATTCAACTTAAAATTCTAACTATACCTTTGCTATACTAAAGTCATTAGAGTTTTTCTAAATGTGAGTTTCATTTAAACGTTTTTGGCTTTCTTCAAATTTTCTCATGGCAAAAAAACTTAAGTGCTCATTATGACAGATAAATGTATTTTAGAAATGTCCTTATTGTTTTTTTTGCCCACATTTCACATAACTTTTTAATTTATTTTAGTCTTACAAACAATGATGTCCATATCAAGCAAGAACCACTTCTTGAAGAACATACAAATGGAGAGGACAATTTTAGTGACCACCATACGTCATCAGTATTTCATCATTTCACTGAAGACAGTGGTCATGACCAGGAAGGAGAAATACCAGTACATATTGAAGAAGCTGAAGATTTATCCATTCCTGCTAATGTTGTATCAGATAAGTCTCCCACCACTTGCCTGTAAGAAGAACTTAGGGCAAATACTGGAAAGCCATCATCAGCAAATAAACAAACAAACAAGAAAGATGGTGTATGTGTTTTAGAAAACTAAATATAGCCATATTAGGGTGTAGCATTAAGATGATGCTGTCTTTCTACTTTGTGTATCTGGCTCCTAGAGCAAGCTGTCTTGTCATAATTAGAACAACTGTTTAGACAAGACCCAGCACATTTACCTCAGTGCGCCAAGGTTCCTTATGTCCTAAAACTTAATACTGTCTCAGGTGAGACTAATGTTCCTGTCAGATCTGAAGAAATCTACACGATTTATTTCTCTGAACCTTAAGCAAACTAGAAAAATCCTTGTAAACAGTGTGGTTCAACTGTCAGCTAAACCAACCAACAAGAAATAACTCTTGGTCTTTTGCCGTAATACTGGAAGTTGTGTAGCATGATTTTTTGAATGTTCTGTAGAACAGTAATCTTCATGTCCTAGTGCCTCACCAGAGTACCCTGTTTCTCTATAACAAGTCTAGAGTTAAATTTTTTTTTTACAGTAAATGAATAATTAATTGGGGATCCCACAGAATGATTTACAATATAAGTATTTTGTACAAATTCAATGCTTGCAATATAAATATATGTACTGAATACCACTGATTAGCTTTATTTAAAGACTTGAATTTTACTTGACTGAAGAAATTCATTTTATTTATTTCTAAAATATGTAAAAATGACTAATTATTATATTATTATTATATCACTCAATTAAATACTTATTTGAAATATAAAGAGTATTTAAAGCACAATTTTTATTAAGTTCATTATTTCAAAAAGTATTTCAGAAATCATTGTGTTTTTCTTTTGATGCTGACATGATTGACACTCTGGTTTGACAATTACAGTGAAAGTGAATGTGGTATTATGTCTATGAAGCAAGCAAGGTATATTCAAAAGAATTGGAGTTTCCTGTTGCTTAAACAATGAAAAATCTTTCCTGAACTAAAAGTAAAGTACAATAAGCAAGATGAGCAATTTGAATGATGAAGAACTCTTTGACAACAGAAAACAAGGGTACTTGGTGTGTACTTGTGTTTATGTGTGTGTGTGTATGTGTGCATAGATATATGTAAAAGAGTATAACTCTGTGAGTATTAACACAAAAATAGTGTGTACCTGCCTCCAGTGTATACCAAATAAATAGTACAGTTCTCTGTAAATATTAATACTATATAATACTAATACGACATACTGTTGAAATGGTCACAAAAAGTTTTTATTTCAGTTACCTACTGTTAATGTTCCAAGCTTTAGGGGATATCTTGGGATGCGCACAATGTGTGTTTTATTTCTTTTAAATGCGTAACTGTGTTGCTAAATTATATGTTATATTGGTGTTTTTTCATCTCCTAACTCTCCATTTTTAAGTTTAATTTCTCTGAGTATTTTTATAAATCATCTCTGATTGTAATTAATAAATTTGTTTTGATTATCATTAGTAATTACAAAATTTGCAACACATCACATTCCTTGAAGCTTATTACATACTGAACTGCTTCTACTTTTAAAAACTAATATAAATATATAAAACAACATCTGAATCATGAGTATATCCTATTTTTTGCCACTTTAGTGTTTTATACCTCTTGATATAGTTTTAATTTTCTTTTATCTCTTCTCTTTATTTAGTAATGCTACAAATAAAAACCATCAAGAGGAACAGTAATTTGGTTAATGATTTTGATTTTTCATATTTTTATATCATTTAAAACTTTATATTAGAAAAACTTTCACGTTATTTACAATACTTTTATATTAATGATTTGGTTGTGAAATATAGAACAAAAAATTAACTCTGAAGTTCAAACATAAATATTTATGTAAAATATAGCATAAAGAAAACCAAAACTTGTAATCAAGACATTTGTTGTTAAGAGGCATATAAAAGAGAAGACACTTCTGAGACTTCTTATCCTCTTTGTTATTTATTTTAGGTTATGATCTAAAATTTTGTGCTTTTATTTAGTAAACAAGATAAGCTTTAAAAAATATTTTATTGATTACAGTGCCATATTATTATTATGTTTTAAGTAATTTCTTGTTATATCTTTAATCAGGAGTTAAATATTTTGTGAAAGAAATGTAATTCTCTCAATTGTGAAACTTTTTAATAATTCAGAAATCTTGAAGTTATTATTAATTGATTTTGCAGCTAATTGAGACTTTGTTTCATTTTTCTCACCATAGGTGTCCCTGAGACTAACAAAAGCCTTAGATAATTAACAAATCAAGTCTTTTTTTAATACCTTCATCTCTGTTTGGTCCTTGTAGATTAAAATTATTTAACAATTAATAGCAGAAAATCCCATAAAGAGGAATCAGGTTGTCAGAGGATTAGAACATGTTGCAAATCTGTATTTTATCTTTTGTTGTACTGCACCAAAGCTTTACAGAAGTAGGATTGGTGATTCAACTACAAAGAATCCATTTTTTTGTATATAACTTTCTTTGGTTTCTTTTGTACTGAAGAACTACTTAACATTTAATTTCCATTTCTTTAAATAATCGTTCCAGAATATTGAAGCAACTTGTCAGTTTATGTACTATAACTGTGTGTATTCTAGACAGGTAAAACATATAGTATTTTTGTAGTTTGCACCATAACATGACTGTCACCTGTTTTCACTGTCTTATATGCAAGTGATTTTAACCAGTCTTTTTTATCCCTTATTTTCAATTTGTAAGGCAGATTTTCCCAGAGCACTATGGGGAAGTTTCCATTTTCGTATAGTCTGAGGTATGTCATATTGTATTTACTGAAGTATGGCAATCTAGTCCTAGCGAGGTTCCTGTAGTATTTTTTACATATTTATATCATCAAGCCAAATCTCTCCTTGTACTATGGACCAGTTTGTTACATGTATAGTAAATTTGTGTCCAAGGGGTGAAGAGGGATGCTGGATGTTTAGTTGGTCTTGTAACTCTTACAGCAATAACTTTCCACTATGACTTTTGGTTTAGCTAGGGCACAAGCCCAATGTACTGGGTACTAGTAGAGTCCCTGTTGCAGGTGAAAGCTTACTGTAAAACCTGGTTAAATGGACCAAAATAAAGCAGGTGAAACAGCAACGATATTATGTTTGTTTTTGTTTAACACTAAAGTAAGAGAAACAGTAGTCTTTGGACTTTTATTTATTGCAACAGCCAAATGTTTTTCTTAACTTACAAAATAGATAAAAATATTTGTAAACTATTTTATTAAGTTTGTTGTACATTCAATAACAGATACAACGAAAACTGCTTTTCTCAGACCTAATTGAATTATACATCCTTCAACCCTCTCTGACTTTAATTAAAATATCCAACACGATAATATTTTGTTTTAAATATAAAACAAAAGATTGGTGGTTAGACATATTCACACCTAAGTTTTGAGTAATGGCCCATAATGAACCAGGGCACATGACACAGCAACAATGGAAGCAAGTTTACGTCTTATCTTTTAAGTAGCTGCAGACGTTTTTTATTACAAACCCATCTATCAATGAACATAGTTTTTGTCGTTTCTGAGTTAACCATCACATGCTATACAAATCAGTCTGTTGATGTGCATCACTCATCACTCCACATCTAGTCGTCAAAGCTTGACAACCTTACTTGCATTGATAAAACTAGTGAATTGTAAAAAAGTTGCCGATTAATTGGATTCTGTCGATTAAATTATATACTCTCCAACAGGTCTACTACATTGTATTAAAAGTTAGAAGCACTTAAAAACTGGACCGAATTTTCAAGTAATATTCGCATCCAGACTCTTTTAGATAAACTATTACTAGGCTTCCCGACAACTTTGGTTATTGGACTAGAAGGATTACATTAAGAAATAACTGAATCTTAGATTATCTAGGGGCTTGTGGAATATATTCTATCTTCGAGCCTAGACCAACAATAATGTGTGAAAACAAAACGTACGGTTTCATACCACTGTTTTTATTTTCACACTAGAAGGAGCCAGCTATTATTGTGCCCCAAATAAGCGTATTTTCAGATATCCTTCATTTATAATTTTATAGTTAATGGAATGCATTTAAAGCGTTGACTATGAATATTCAAATATTTATAAGCCATTAGACTGAAGTAGAGTATATTGGTATTACTCCATATGTCTTAGATTTAACAATCTGATGACTTATGTTCATTTGTTGTTGTTGTTTTTATTATAATCAAACTTAAATTCTGTATTTTATTAAGTACTTTTTAATACATCTTATAAAATAAGGTTTACGTAAATAGTCATCCGACAAGTTTATACAATATAACCTTGACTAAGTAGAAGAAAAACATAATAGTTTGGAAAATAATTTTCATGACTTACAAAGGTTTAGTCGCTTTATAAAGATGATTTGCAGTGGCGCCAACTTGCCGCCAAGTATAATGGGTTTAACATCTACGCGTATAGGTTTTGTTCATAGCGAATTCTTGACCATTTAACAGTGCTATGTCGTCGTGAACAATTTATACTTTAAGTATTATGTCGCAGTCCTTTCGAAGAAACGATATTTGTATAGCGAAATGTTTCAAAATATGTAGAGCCAAAAGACATGCCATTTTAATGAAGGAAGCCTTCGATCTTCTTTACGGGAGCGAAGAAATTCGCACGGCGGGACATTTAGGACAGTAGAGGCTCAGAAACTACACCCCAAGCTAATTCGAGCCCTTACAAAGTCAAGGCTAGGAAGAAAGTTCTTTTAACGCCAACAGCCAGTACAATGAAGCTGGCCTTTTCTTTTGGTACCTAACAAAATAATAAGAATTTGAGGTCGGTGGTGAAGGCTCACAAGCCAAACATTTAGAGCTTTCCAACCACAATTCGAAATCAGCAGCCGTTTGCAGGGAAAGGGTGGTTGAAGATACTGTATTACAATCCCATTCGATAGCAAATTTGTCAATACCCTCAAATTTAGCGCCAAAGGACGTTTATCTCTTTGGTCTGCTTAAACGTGGTTTATAAACAGATGTTCGAATATAGTTGAGTGTTTTTGGAAAGCTTGTTTTCTAAGGCTGACTTCATATTCTTCTCAGAAGAATGTTACAAGGACAATTGGAGGGTTGGACAGTCGACGATAGAAGAAATAGCTAGAGGAAGCATGGAACCAAGAACAGCTCTCTTATAAAGTGCGATTAGTCTTCAACATTAAAAAAAATACTCTGGTTATAAGATCTGCGATAAATTAGACGGCTTGTAATTTTATTTATATTTCCTAACATTAACGATGTTTATGTTCTCCTAAGGTACTTTTACCCACACTTACTAAACCTGTTTAGATACATACTAGCTTTCTCATTTCGTCAATGATTATGATATTTCAGTTTGGCCAAAAAGTCAACGGAAAGTAGTTCAACTATACCTCTAGAACAGTGTTTACAGAAAATGTAATACTTTTTGATGAGGTTTATAAAGCTGATAATATTTCTTCCATATACCAAGACTTAAATTCTGCCTCACAGAAAACTTTCCAAGAATTTCTTCCTACATAGTAAGGCTTGCTTTTGCTTCATAGAAATGTTCCAAGAAATAAATGTTTATTTCATCTAAATATTTTTACTTATCTAGTGACTCAACAACAACAAAAGTTTCTCAAGACTTTGTCACATAATAATTTTATTTTGTGGTAAAACATTAACCAACTGATTTATAGTATTTACTGAATGTTAAACATCACTGTGAAGTATAAAGCTGAATGTTAAGTTGTTTAAAACTTTCATAGAACTGTAATGATGTCCGAAATTGAGTACTTTTGTTCAGTATATAAAAACTATTTTGTAAAAAGATTAACCTAATGTGCGATAGATGACAGTAGCGTAGGTATTACTGATTAAAATCTCTGTCGCTGACTTTAAGGGATGTTGGATTCCCAAGGTATATTGATAAAAGTTATAAATAAAAAGTCACTAAAATTACATCTTAACACTATTTATAACCAAAGAGTAGAAGTTTGAATGGTTTTAAGTGAAACTGCTTCTCATCAAATTATAGTGATGGTTATTTAATCTCATTTCTCATTCGTGACATTAAAGCAAATTTTAATTTGTGCTTTATATTTGAGCTTTTGTCCTTGGTTTTGTTAATTTTCCATCTTTAAAGTGAAAACGAAGCTACTAAAGCACATTCTTTATCATATTAGACCTGATCAACCGTTGTAGTTTGAAATACTTAACGTTTACGATTAAGAGTTTGCCAGGAGAAGACGAGGCACGTAAAAATTATAACAATTATATATCGTCCCCTTCATCATATGACACAAATTCTGTTGTATCTTTGTATTTTGGTGAAACTTCATCCGTAACAATCCCTATTTTATGCTTGTTAGGTGACTAAAAAATCGCAACTTGGGTAACTTGTATTTGAAAAGGAACAATGGATCATGCAAAACTTCCACTATTTCCCCTGTCTCTCTTTCTTCCACTTACATCACAAGCTCATATATTAAAAAAAAAGAGAAACGATAGGAAAGTAGAACTAAATTAGTCTTTAATCAGTGTTTTGATATATCATTAACATTTTAAATTACTTTCAGATTCAACCGTTCCATACACAATCTGAACATTTTTAGTTCATTCAAATATCAAAAGTTGTTCAACAGATACCACCATCCACCCCAATTTATCAAACATACATATTCATTATCGTTAAAAATAATACTAATTATTGTTTGTTTATTGTTGTTGTTTTTCTAGCTTCCATTTACAATAAATGGGCGATGATAAAAAAACTAAATGGGGTAATTAACTATTCAGGTGCCTCAATCTAATTAGACTTCAAATAAAATAAAAACCAGGATCCTGAAATAATATAATAGAAAGCTTTGTTTCTACATCATAAACAATGAAAATACCAATTATTTGAACACTAATGATAATGTTGATAAAAGAAACGTGTAAATAACGATGAAATAATCGTATGACTTACCATAATGGAACAATATCAATATCCGTTATGAATTAAATATGTAAGGTTAGCGTTATAATGTAACAAGGAAAAGTTGTTTGCTACGTTATGAACAATGATTCAGCACATGTGATTACAATGAAAATACCTATATATCGTTCTTTGAATACTAATAATAATGTTAATAAAAGAAACGTGTAAATAACAAAAACTTCAAACTAGTGTGTAAATAAACCTTTAGGTGAAAAAAAATCAAGACATGTAATACACATCTTACAATAAGAATACATGAACAATGTAAATTAAATGGGCTTATGACGGGAGAAACATGATAAATGACAGCATTTTTAGCATACGTGGTAATATTAGAACAATATGTAAAAAGGAATCAACTGCTGGAAAACTGTTATTTTATGAATTTTTATGTCTTACCACTTATCAAGATTAGACAAAACAATAAATTCTTTGATAGATTGTTTAGGCAGAGTATTAATAATGGAACTTTGTAGAATGGACGGCAACTGAAGGCGGAAGACTCTCGAAACGTCGTCCTCTACATTTGTGTCTCTTACAACAGGCAGTTGCCGTCCATTCTACAAAGTTTCATTAAAACAATAAATATTCCGCCTTACTTCCCCTATAACCCTTCACTCCTGTCAAATTTAACTGTAACCTTCCTAATATCTGAAACAGGTTATGGGTAAATTTGACATTATGTCAGAATTTGATCTAAGGACCCGTAAGAATAATTGTTCATCTTGTATCATTCTATCATCACGCATGAATTTAACATTATGCAACTTCTTTACTCTTCCTTTTCATTGTTTACATCATACACACTCTGGGTTACTAATCGGTATGATTCGTAAATTTTTCAATTGTCCGCAAGATGATTATAATAAAAATGCTTTATGAAGTGTTTTCAGTCCCATGAGGTTAGAAGCTCGAAAGTATAATGCAAATATATTTACCACATGTTCCGTCAACAAAAGTAGGCATGAAAAATATTAGCCTTTACTCCTGAATTAAAACTAATGAACATAATTAATGGTATTAAAGACAAAATTGAATTAAACGATAAATTTGGAGCATATAAAATCTCTTGCAGTTGTGGCTTGAATTGTATCGGATAGACAAGTAGAAATGCAACTTGTATGTAGATACACTCCAAAGCTTTGCTTAA